GATAAGGTTATCCCAGCACGGAAAAGAGCCGATCGCGGTGACGATGCGCCTCTCCCTGTCCTCCCCCTAGGAATGGCCAGTGTATTGCTACTACTATACCATGTTGATAGACTACTTCCTCAGGTCCTCAAACGGCAACTACCACCGCTGTGTTCTGATGCTTCTCGCGTGTTGGGACTGGACGCCCTTCGAGAACAGTATGCGGCTAGAGCTAGAGGGGACAGGGCGTCAGTTGATCTCAATGCGTCTACCTTTTCCTTTGCTAGTGATGAACAGTCTATACTCAGTCAGGACTACCCAGGTGGGCTCTTCTAATACCATATACAGCGATCAACTTGCTCGGTTTTCACCCAATGATTAACGAACTGTATTCGGAGGCCAGATCGTATGTCGCGGAAATCTGCAGCCGTATGATCAAAGTCTGATTGAGCCTAAGGCCGACATAAGACTATAATACAACAGCAACAATTAGTGATAGCTAACAGCTGAGGTCGAGAGTTTCTAAAGCTACAGTACGGAATTTTACACACGACTTGGAGTAGAAGTGTATGAAAATTTAACGAAAAATTTTGTCATCAACCTGCGTAGTGCATATTCCACATGTCTCGTTTTTTTATGGTCAGTGGCCAACACTCTAGAAGCAGCTCTGGACGACTTCTGGTCCTCCTACTTCAGCCCGTACGATACGCAGGCCAATCCTGTCCCTGCTGGTCGGTGGTCTCATGGGGTGAGTACTCTATTATTAGTGATAGAGAAATTGGGAACTATGAATACGCTTTTTTTGCGACTAGGCTTGGGGGGTAAACACTCGCAACAATGGAATTGTTCATATCGTCAGACTATGTCTAGTACCAACAGCTCTGACTACCGGCCGATTCGTAGTAGGACGAGGACGCCCCGTCATCACAGCAAGTAAGTCACCACTGGTCGTCCTTCTAGTAGAAGTGACTTCACCGAGGTGTGGTATCAGATTCCAGTTTAAATTGAGAGTACAAGCGGCGTGCCTCGAGGCGATGACCAGGCAGTTTGCCAACTATAAACAGTGAGTCCAGCCCGTGGGGGCCAAGTCTATGTACGTACTCAGGTACGTCACTAAGAGAGATGGGGAAGACCGAACTTTCGATGTACAGGGCTTCCTCGGTGGGTCGCCACATCAGCATCACAGCATTGATGACGGTTCCCCTCAGGGCACAGTCCGGAGATTCCAGGCGACATGGACGAACAGTCTCACGGGAAGCTCTTCGTGGAGCCATTTTTGGACCTCTTCTTAGATCAACATCGTACGCATACGTTCGACTTGTTCCTGCTCAACGTTGTGGATACTCCCAAGGCATGGGTGTTCGATAAGGGCTGCCAGGTTAGTAGTATCGACTCTCCTCTACTAACAGTATTCTGCTGTGTGCAGGTCTGGGCGACTACTGATGGGGATATCGCCGCAGGATCGTCCGAGTAGGAAAGCACTGTGATGATGCTACTGCTGAGCTCTTCCTTGCTCAGACAACCAGAGGGGGTCAAAACAGCAGCGCTGAGGACTTCTAACCAGTTGTTATTATTGGTGAAGAGGGCCTATGAGCCCGTGATCATCGATGTGGCGCCACCAGTGCTGATGTCAACGCCCGATCCTCCAGTACCTGAATCCCCTATCGATGCGAAGTCCCGGCCAACTGAATGGCTCATGAGAGCGACTCAGAGTCTGCAGGTATAGCAATACGCTTCTGGAAACTGATCGTCATTCGTGTTGCAGGTTGAATCAGAATCAAAAGTAGTTCCTAATATGCCCAACTGTGGGCTGGTGTCTGCGGCCCATCGCCGAGCTCGAGGAGTTTTAGTCAGTGCGACGGTCACGCACTTACGAGCTGGGCGAGCCAAATCTCACTTGCTCTGGCGAGTACTGGACCGGCTTGCTGCTGGAGGCTCGGCTACTGATAAGATATTCCTACGGGGCCCTCATATCCTTGGACTCTGTGACATCGGCGGGAATTGCCCGGATTGTGGTATGCGTATTACCGACTTCTGGCAATGTGCTAAGTATTGGTGGGGACATGACCGAGTTGAAGTTACCTGTGCCTCTTGTGATGGTGTATGGACGCCAACTTTCACCACGTGTGCTGGCGATCATCCTATGCTGCCTTATCACCTCTCTAGGGCGGGGGTGCATATAGACGATACCTTGGTCCAGTCGATTCACCATCGTCGTATATGCAACTTCAGAACGCTGACGGAAATGTACACAATTTCCCATCAGAAAGGTTCTGATCGCGACACTGAACTTATGTACAATATTGAACTATTTTTGGGTGTTGTAATCTCCGTCGAGGGCAGCTCGCCAGAGACCATGTTTGAATTGGTGAAGTCGTATGTACAGGATGCCGCAGCCGAGCAGATCTCCGTCACTAATCCTCTCGCATCTGGGACCTCACCTTGGCTGAAGTCGGCTCGCAGTGGTGACCGTACCCTGCAACATACTCCATCTATGAGGGACTACTATCAAATGTCTAGGTCCTCGAGCTCTCAGGAGCAGCTCGTTCCACCGTCCCCTGGTGATGAGGGCCAGCCAGGTAAGCTGTGTTGTATTCGCTTCAGTTATGTGGGCGGCAGGTACCAAGGACTCGGATATCAGCAGCTTGGATGCTCGACGGAAGACTTATGAGCGAATACGGCAATATCGGCGTATGCAGTCTGGGCATCTCACACCAGGTGTCAATAGAGCTGGTCCCCGACCGAGACCGACTAAACATATCACTATAAATCTAGGACAGGTGATTGGTCACCGTCATTGCACCGTACAAGTGTTCATTTCAGTCGGAGCCTGAAGATTCTCAGCCACGATTGAATCGAGGGCGGCGGTACATGGACATCGCGTTGGCAGATACCGGCGAGTCCATGGACGATGACTCACAGCGGAGGAAGACTAGAACCCTCGATGAATCGTCTAAGAATGGAGACTCGCACCTCAGAAGAGGTTTCACTGCCTCTGAGTAGGGTGCGTTTCGAGACGATCGGAATGCTCGCGAAAAGAGCTTCAGGCCTCTCGTTTCTGCGAGGTCTGCTGCTGCTGAGGATCCTGAGAGGACCAAGCATCGTATCAAAATCATGTTGTCTTCAACCCTGTCTTAACATATACGACTTTATCAGTCTAGCATTTCCTATACAATTTGTTGATATACTTGACTGCTGCCAATAAAGATGAATATTTCATATTCTTTCGACCTGTTGTGTTCCAAGTGGTTTGTCTTCGTTGATGCCAATGACGATATCACAGTATTGCTCAAATCTTCTCTGAAAACTGAATTTGAGCTCGCACCTTCGTTGCTTGTCAATTAAGAGTGTAAACGCGCTTACTAGCAGCGATTCCGACAAAAGTCAAGGGATGTCTGTTCTGTAGGTTTTAGCAGAAAACTTTCTAAGCGTTAGAAAGGGTCCATTCGCTGTAGCAAGTATCGAATTCTCGCAGGAATAGGTTGAGTTGTTGAATTGCTCAACTTCGACATTTGGACATCTCTGTATGGAGTATCAAGATAGCCTTGTCGAAGAGGTGATGAATTGTAAAACGGTGAATAGCATGACCATTGCTCTGTATTCATTTACACCCAATGAGTGGAATCGTCTCCTTTCCATCACAACACAACCCGTCTTATGGTGCCACTGGAATCATCATCCGATACTCCCATTCCCTTTGAAATGCGGCAGCCCGAGTGAAGGCTACTGCAAGACACCGAAAGGAAGCAAATATAGAAGAAACAGTAACGATATCTATTACGCTCAATAAGAAGCGTATCAACCATGGTGGACTTGACACAAGATAGAGAATACTAGAAAGTGACAATGGACTCGTATCCTCCTACTACTATCATCAACACACTCAAAGCCATCATAAGGAACAGAATAGACAGCTCGACTTTGCTGGATTTCCATACAGTCATGAACGATCCTTCGTTGAGGACACGCATTCTAATATAGAACACACCGGGGAGTATACCAGCCATAGCTGTCATAGTGAATACACTGAGTAGGTCAATAAGCTTCTGGACACTAGGCACAACGATAGCAATGACAAGCGTAATCGCCACTAGGAAAGTGCGTACAACGATTCGCTTGGCAGTTGGTATCGTCCCTTTTGCGTCCTCCGGGTCATCGACTTTAAACGGAGGTAGTGGGAGTAACTGATACTCCAACGAAGCCGCAATAGGGAATAATAGTACTATGTAGTGTGGGAAGCAGAGACAGATAAGTGAGATAACACATATATAACCCCAAGCATCAAGACCGCCTGTGGGAGGGCAATACGATCGATAATGGGAACGTCTACCAGCGTATTGC